GAAAAGAGAAAGAATGAAAAATGGGGAAAAAGAAAGTTTAAAAAGTTATTTTTTTGATTCGTTGGCTTTTACCCCCCTCCACCGAAGTTTCGAAACCTATAATGCGAGAGCAACCAATGTGATGTACAACATCAGTCAAGTGGCAAAACTTTAACACAAACAATTGTGGAAAATTATGTTTACAATTCATCTTCTACGAATAACGAGAAAATAGAGAAAAGAAGAAAAGCAAAAGTGAGATGCTTGGAGGGTGAAGCATGCATGTGTATGAACCTTTCCGTCTATGCGCACCTACACTCATTGGCGTGGCACCTAGAAGTGTCCGGTTCGATTCTCTCCAGCGATTGATCTCTCGCGAGGTGCTTACGAAATAAGCCTTGAATTTCACTGGAAACCGACTCATCCTGTTACGAATGTGAAATCGAAGGATGCGATGGTTTTAACCTTTGGTTTCATTGGACCGGCGGAGCGGTAAGCCAAACAATTACTCGTTACCTGATCCCTACGAGGTTAGCGTACACGTGTTAACAAGATATCAATCGCGACAATATCAAAAGTTGCTTCGCAGAAATGTTCAAGACAGAATTTTCGCGAAGAAACAATTCTTCGAACTACAAAGTGGACCATACTAATCAGAGATGTTCTTGTCAGCAACAATCGTTTACTCTTTTCTTTAACCTTCCCGGTTCTATAGAACCCACTGCCTGGGATTCTCTCGTGAAATTAAACAAACTTTGATTGGAAAGTTGTTCCGCTCAGACGCGCAGTGAAACTCGTCAAAGAAACTTCCCCAAACATCTCGTTTCGTGTAACGTAGTAGTTAGGCGGTTTATATAAACAATCGACAATCACACATATCTCATCAGTTTCATATCGACGGTCTATCATCCTTCTCTGATTCAGCAGGAGAGACCTTCGGAAAAAGTGTTTCATTAGAGTAAAACTCATAATTGGATCGATGAACTTACAATTCGCTCGAGACCTCGGAAGGAACAGTTAGTACCCATGAGTTGAAGACACGCCAAGCTGGTATGCACCCTAACTTTATTCGTAATAGACGAGAATGTCGAGGCGAATATAAAATGGCGAGTTGTCGACCGTCCGCGGCATAGTGTGCTTTTGCGCTGCACACGTTAACACGCATTAACCGAGAACAGCATTGAAGGCTTTGTGAATACGTCACAAGAAAACCGCGGAAAGCATGAACAATGATGGACGACCACGTCCTCGATATTCTAGGCAAAAACTGGGGTAACAGAAGAAAAGCAAGCACATTACAGGGGCGCACCAATTCCAACCTGTAACAAGCCCTATTACCTCAGGATAATGATAATGAATGAAATTGGATACAGTATCCCGAATAAAGATATTGTTTTACGTTACAAGGAAAGTGGTTTCTTCGTGATAGAGGGAAAAGCTACAAAGGAAGACGGTACCGGGCGCAGCGAAGCGGCTTTTGGGTTATGAATCGGTTTCGCTCTCTTTTTTTTCCGGAAATTCGCAAATATGAAATAAACGGTGTAGTAGTGGAACTATATTCGGAACGCAGGGCAATTACAAGCACAAAATGGAGAACAAACCTCTACTTCTCCGGCTGAACGGCGGATGTACATGGGTGCCGCAATGGCGCAGAAAGATCAATTGTTATTTTTCGCAGAGAAAAATCAAAACGAATGGTTGGATCCGCAGCTCTGAATATTTGTGGGTGGGTCCCCATGAAAAACTTTTGTTAGGTTTTTGTGAGGCCCCACTTCTACGTGTGCGGTCACGGATGTAAAACACGAACTCGTGCTAATACGTTCCCGCACTGAACCGCGAACGCCCTCTTTACAGACATTCGAGGTGCGCCGCCACTCCCCAAAATCCAAAAATAACAATTTCACGAATCTGCTGGAGAATCCGCACCTGTCTCTCAGCGTTTCATGGGGACCCACCCACAAAAATATCCAGAGCTGCGGATCAACCATTCGTTTTGATTTTTCTCTGCGTAAAATAACAATTGATCTTCTGGCCATGCGGCACCCATGTACATCCACCGTTCAGCCGGAGAAAGTAGAGGTATGTTCTTCATGGTGCTTGTAATGCCTGCGTTCCTAATATAGTCCACTACTACACCGTTTATTTCATATCGAATTTCCGAAAAAAGATGAGCGAAACCATTCATAACAAAATCCGCTTCGCTGCGCCCGGTACCGTCTTCCTTTGTAGCTTTTCCCTCTATCACAAGAACACTTTCGCTTGGTAATGTAACAATATCTTTATTCGGGATACTTATCCCAATTTCATCATTATGCTCATATCCTGAGGTATAGGGCGTGTACAGGTGAATGGTGCGCCCTGTAATGTGCTGCTTTCCTTCTTTACCCCAGTTTTTGCCTAGAATATCGAGGACGTGGTCGTCCATCATGTTTCATGCTTTTCCGCGGTTTTCTTGTGACGTATCACAAAGCCTTCAATGCTTCTCGGTTAATGCGTGTTAACGTGGTCGCAGGACAAAGCACACTATGCCGCGGACGTCGAACAACTCGCATTTTATATTCGCTCGACATCTCGTCT